CTGCCAGAGTTGACCACCGACTAAATGACGACATCAAAAGAAATTCGACGCTTGAAATGTTGTGTGAGACTGAAGACACGCAGAATGGGGATGCGTGTGAGTGGGGCGGAGAGATCATTGCCAGACAAACAACTTCCATGGTCCTCGGTGTTGGAGACTAGCTCTGCCGCATGTGAGGCAGGATTCTTCACGTGACGAAAGAAACAGTTTCGATTTCGGAAATTTTGCTGGTTCAAAAAACTTGCACTTCATGGCTCATGAAGACTGTCCTTAAAATACTTCAGACAAAGTTCGCACGTGTAGGACTTAGGAACGGGTGATGAACCGTAATGTCAGCACGTGGGTTGGCATCTGCAGGAAATAATTTGGCAGAATTCTCCCCAGAAAAAACGTCCGTATCCTTTAGCAGAAAGGGTTGCCGCCAGTCATAACGTCGAAACGTCGGGTGCCTTTTGTTGGTATTTCAATTGTTTGCAGTTGTCCGTGTAGTGACCATTCTCTTGATTCATGCCATGCCTCGTCTTGACGGCGAAGAGTACACGGAATCTCGAAACGGGGGGGTTGGGGGGGGGAGCCTTGTTACAAACCCAAAATCTTGGAGAAAGGAACAGTGGCTAAATACAGTAAAATTGGGATTAGACGGGCTGGGAAATGGAGAAGAGAAACGCGTGGAGAGAAGCAAGAAGGTGCATGGAGTATTGAGAGACAAGAAGCCGAATCAAGTGAGAGAGAGAGAGGGGGGGGAAACATCACTGGCGCTTCAGAATGAACTGAAGACCACTTGCGAAAAATGGTAAGACTAACGCAAAGATACGCAGAAGTGGGCAAAAGATCGGTGGGTCATGTTCAAGATCGGAAACTGTAACCAACAGAGTAATAATGAATGTCAAAATGTCATACCCAGATTCCTTGCAGAACCCCTATGTCCGACAACTTAAATCGCCTCATTTGCCCTGGTGCATACATTTTAATTACGAATTCTCAATGACTGTGACGTCATTCCTGTTTCTGTGCCAAAGAAACACTTTACTTCACACAGCAAGTAGTGAAAAATATGAGAATGTTCTTATGTTAGGAGTAAAGTGACACAAACAGGAAACAGGTGTTCGAAAACCTAGCTGCTAGTTGACCGATATCCGTGTTTCACGCTGCAAACGCGTTGCGATTGTCAGAGCCAGTTCGAAAGTTCATCTGTTCTGAGCTCTTCACGTGTTCTTGCTCTATTTTTATATTGTTTTTACTGTTTCACGTTCATAACATTTGCATTAATTTCCACTGAACTTGCTTTGCGTCACAACGCTCGTTATGACAGCCGAAAACGCTTTGTCCGCACCTCTTGTCTCTTTTGTTTTCATGATCGCAATTTTTTTTTCATATTCCTACTTACAGTGGCTTACCTCGCAACTCGCGTCGTGATATCGTGAAAATACTTTTTGAGCACCTTGTGTTCTGACCTCGTATGTCCTATTAAACGTGATATGGAGCACTTCTTACTCTGTTAAGGCGGACTGCAGCGTCGTGGACTGATGAGTCTCGTTGTTGTCGTGAGGAAGACATGTTGCGTGTCCACTAAACTTCCCTCAGTCACTTGCCGATTGGGTATCAGCTCCTACAGTAACCTTTAACCTCGAGCACTAACACTCAGACTGATAAACCCTCGTTCCTTCTTGGCTGCAGGCAGGGATATCCAAGGCCTTCTTGATATCTTCACTGCCGCTTAAATATCAGTTAAAATGTAAGAATGATCGATTCCTAGTTGAGGGTGCACAAATAGTTTGTTTATCCCTCGCCTGTTGCAGGTACAATTATTATTGTTTACATGTACAGGGCCACATCTGTTTCGTGCAGCTGTGCTTGATGACAAAGTGGGCCATAAAAAACGCCTCCCCTGTCATTCTGGCGATAAAAGCAAAGAAAACATTATGCCAAAATGCGACATTTATTTAAATAGGCCATTGGTTGTGCTTTGCTTACAGAGTAGATATTCTTCAAACACCGAAGACCTACAGAGGAATTTATGGGCTTAATTCTCTGATTGCTACAACTCAGTGCCAATCCCCTCACGACTAGCTCAGAAGCAGACTTTGCCACAATCATTTTTTTATCAGAGTTTTGCGGCGAGGACTTCCTTCTTCTGCCCAACATCGCCCTCTCTCTGTGATTCAGAGAAACCTTTTTTCCGGTTCCTTTGGTGTGGCATACCACAGGATGTCAACCTTTTCGGTACTCGTGGCACCCTGGAATCAGAACTCAGAACTAAAATTTATGATAAAAGTGCCTATTTTTCAGTACTGTCGTTTGCTGTGTAGAATTGTCTGCCTCAGAACAGGTACATGATTAAGTTTTGATATACATATCAGTTTAAAAAGCTTAAGCAGACATCACGGCATTCTTTCAGACACTCGACAAAACTTTTGCAATAATTGAGCCACAGAGAACCTTCTTGCGTGCGCAGACGTAGATATTTCCCGTTCCTGGTAGACTCTGTCAAGACACGAAGTCCGTAGGAATTAATTTGCGGCAAGGAGTGGGGTGAGGCGCTTTGATAGCCATTGTTGAATCACCACCAGCATTGTCATTAATTTCTGCTTCCAAGTTTCGCAAATATAAGTTTATTCTTATGATAACTCGTTACTAAAACATACTCAGTTACGAATTTGATTTTTTTATTTGAATGTTTAATTCTATATGATCATTCTTCTGTTGAAAGCTTCGCGGTTGAGAACCATTGCTGTAAGCTTTCGATCAACATCTATCCGATACCGTACGTATTTAGATAAGTCCTCGACTGGAATCTCGTATCCTGAATCGATCAACTGCGTTTTTATTCACCACCCGTTCTCCTAAGGCCCATTTTAACATTTTCCATATGTGTCTGAAGTCTGTCGCGTGATATTTTCCATCACTTTTCCAGCCATCTCTTTCTCCCCAGTAAGCCCAGACGTCACAGCCACCGATGCTGAAAATTGCACCAACAGTAATAGCGAGTCCACAGACCAGGAGAAAATCCCTGAGGAGGAAAGTCGTTTCTGGGGCGGTGCAGGAGGAATGTTTACTACCAAGTGGGCTAGAGGGCTGCTATTGGTGTGAAGTGCGATACGTCAGAGTTTTACGCTACTACAAACAGACTGAAAACATCAAGCAGTTAAGAGTAGCGTGTAGTGA